CTTCTTTGCGAAAGTTCTTCTAACTTTCTTTTTTGCCCCTTTGCTTTTTGAATTCGTGATAGATTATTTGAGTGCAATCTTAGAATGAGAGGCACCGTGCGGCGTATAGTATAAGTTAAGCGTGCGTGTGTGGGATCCCATGCGATTAGTATTAAATTAATGTATGTGTGTGCGTGTGTGATACAAGTTCTTTACTGGATTGTGGTAAAGAACTTGTATATGCGAGCCTATGAGCTATGTAGAGTCAGAACTCATTTATCCTTCTGATAAATGAGGTTGCATTTGGAGGGTGGAAGGGATTTGGAGTTAGGGTGGGTCACTATCGTAGCAACCTCCACGTGGTGTGACCTGGTAATCGATATCGTTTTCTAGACATTTTTATAGAAATGAACTTTAGAAAACGATATTGAGCTAATAGCTACGAATTAAATTATAATTTCATTTGTTCCACAGTTTCTTTTACGAAAATGTTTGGGGTAAGCATGTATTGCAAGTTCCACACATATGCAAATTTAGATTTACAAATTTTCTAGTAAAATGCAAAAGTTTGTAAAACTAGATGACAGCAGATAAGACGAAATCCACGGAGTAAAAAAGGAGATGCCGGCATCTTTGATCTAACAGGGAAATTTAAATCGAGCAGATCGATTTTCATGTAACTCTCTAATAATTTGGAATATATTTGTAATACATTTTCTGTGCGTTACTAATATTGTCTTTTCAGGTACTATTAATTTTACGGCGTGGAAAATTTGAAAAAGAAGAGACACCAAAATGAGTAGGTATGTATTGGGAATGGTTATTAAAAATAAGAAAATAACTTTTAAGAAAGTAAAAAACTTTATTTCTCAAAAAATTACAGATGAATGTGTTACAAAGATACAACAAAATATTTATTACAAATAATTTACTGCTGCATATGCAGGTTTAAATTATTTTTCTTTGACCGCCATACTCCTACACTAGGCGCATGCGCAGTGCAGCTAAATTTAATTCTGTTCGTGTTTTTGAAACTGGAAACTGCATCTTCGGATCCACAGTATGTACTATAAACAGCATAAAATCGATGTTAATAAATGCATAATAAATATATTGCATATTAATCAATATAATCGATAATAATTGGGTTTTTATAAAAATGGAGCAAGTGGCGCCATCTTTCCGGCGAACAGGGTGAACTACACACTTTTTTAACTGCCCTTTAATTAGTTCCGATCTTCTCCACTAGATGGCGTCTCACACGCGCCACCTAGCGGTAGAAATAAGAACTAATTAAGGTAGTGTTTCAAAAGTGTGTAGTTCATCACGTTCGCCGGAGAGATGGCGCCACTTGTTCAATTTTTTTTTTAAATTAAAACGATATGCCATCTTATGGCAGCGAAAGGAACTAATGAAATTACAGTTTTTAAAAAGTATAATTCACCGGAGAAATTCTTTTTAAAAAAGAAGCTTACTTACAAAATTTGGTCAGAATCAAAACATATTCTTTTCCTTAATAATGTCTTTATGTTTTAACAGAAGCTGTTGATTACACGGGACGAGTAATGGATCTAAATTAAACGACAATGATTTATCATTTATTGTAATACCCAGTGACAAAAGTGGAATACAGCTTTATCGGCCAGGCATTCTATTCGGAATTGAGATCGTTTCCCGCTGAGGCTGATCAAAAAAATCATGAGCCAACGGTATATGAAATAATTATTACAATCAGAGCAAGGTCGCGTAATATAAAACAATGTACTCTCGATTAGTTATTACAACGTGTCATTTAAGTTATGCTAAAAAAAATATAACTCTTGTTACCAGTGATAATAACTCGTCCGTATAAGTAAAATATCTTTTGCAGTCACTTAGCCGACTAACGGTAAATATACATATATATCTTAAACATTTACGTGTCTGTCCATGCATACATAAAGAATACATCGCGAGTAACTTTGTCGGATGGTTCGACAGTTCATAAAACATATACAGACGGATCCATATGATCTTCTAATTACTTTCTAACAATTTGTCGACGACCCAACAATATTACGCGCTTGTGATGTATCTTTTATATATGCATGTGCATGGTTATATTACATACGTATGTATACATATACACGGTCACATTCTTATATGTTATAGACCTACACCGGTAAATCGTAACTACATTCGTGCCCCTTTAAAACGATACAAACAGTCGCCTCAATTCATGATTTGCCACAGCAAAGACAGCGCTGAATACATAATATATTTCGCATCAGGACTAGTTCGATGGCAGATCTTCGACCGACTACAGTATTACTGGAACAGTCAAGGAACAATGATGGCACAACGATAAGTTTAATTAATTACACCTCGATTAATCTATTCCCTTATAGAACCATTTCGTTTCAGGAAAATCAGGAAACGTCCATCGTCATCGAAACGCAAGAGGAGTCGCATCTCTACTTTTCCTGCTGACCAGCTAATCATTCTATTATGAGTAACAATTGCAGTGATTAACCGCGACGAATCGGTTATAAAATTACACTCCCCGACCGAGATCCGACAATCGCTTAATTATAAACACGTTTATAAGCGCACAATCGTTGCGAACGCATCGACAACTAACGCTAATCATCTTTGTCATCGAGCTATCAGCGTGTTCACGCGACGAGCTAGTTTATTATCATGTGGACAGTAACTTCCGCCGACGAAGTTCGTAGCAGCTATTCGATAAAACAATCGCTATCCGCAATAATCTAACGCGATGAACATCTGCAGCGACTTATTTATGTACACTTTCGTTTTAAATATTTACATCATCCACTACGGCACAGAACCATTGGCGTAACTGGACAAGGTGGGTCACTATGGACTGATCTTCCATTACAGGACATGTTGGAGTAGTAGATTTATTTCACTTTATTTTGGGGAATTAGAGAATTTAGGAAATTTGAGAATTTTCCTATTTCTAAAGTACTTTACGAATTCTCAAACTTCCAAATTTTCTGATTCATCAGGTTTCCAAAATTGGGTACCTCACCTAGGACTGAAACTCCCAGTTACGCTAATGCAGAGCTAGAGCGATAAGAAGGAAGTATTTTTGTACCAACGTTCGTGGAGTGACACGTATCGTGTCCTCGCAAGTACATCTCGATAGACAACATACAAAACGGTATTTTTTTATCGTTACACTTGTGGTTGCTTCCCTTTTTTTTCTTATAAATCGATATGAATGGTTGAAAATAACATAGCACCGAAGGAACTTGAGCGCAACATCACGCGTTGTCTGATAGCTCTTGGCAATGACTCAGAGAACTATAACGATACACTTACAAGCTAATTATCCTAACTATTAATATCATGAGTAGTATTAATTATCTCTCACGAATAACGAAGAGGTTCAGGTAACAATTTCAACGAATACTTCTTTCTTTCTTCGCGTTACAGCTTACTAAACTACGAACAGAGCGACTAGGTAAAAGATGATTGTACATACACCAGAACTTTCTGACTGGTTGCTCAAACTCGATCGAAGATCAGCGAATAAAATGTAAAACCGATCGAAATGACACGAAATCAATGGTTAAATACTTCTCTAGGATATTTCTTTAGAATCTTTGTTTAATTCTAGGAACTAGACTGGTCATCTCGACGGCTACTTTGTAAAAAATTTTGATCGTGCTCGATCACATTGTGAACGATACTATTGTATCAACGATAGAAAAAAGGACAATACAAAATAAAATAGAGTAAACCTTGTTGAATTCAATGTTAATCCTGAGTTACAGCGTCATGCGTTCTATTGCCACTGCTACGTTAATTTAGTAAGAAATGTAAATTTGCAAGTAAAGCGCAAGCTGAAGTATCACGGCTACACAAATATCTTAAAAACGGAAGTCAGTTAATTTACTCAGAATCTTTGGAACATCTACATTGTAATCGACAAGGTTTACTTTCTCTAAAAATCAATTTTGTTCGAGAAATGATACCGCACAAATAATAATCGAAGTCCTCGTACGTTCAAACCACGTCGATCAGAAAGATCCATTTCCACGGAGGATAAGTCTATCATATAATTGCACGCTTTTATACAATGGATTCGTCAAATGTACAGGTATATATACATACAGAGAGAGAAGGAGAGAGAGAGGGGATATAAAAGGTGGAGTAACAAAGTAGAATCATTTCTTCTTTTTTAGATTGTTGATTGAGCACGTATCCGGTCGAAATAGACGAAGAGTTCGACGGTGTTTCGAATCGAAGATCCTCGTACTCCGGGATAATTATTGTGCAACTACTGCCGGGATTCGAAGAACGACCGGCAGCGTGCAAATCGTCAGAGTTTCTCCGGTGCGGTGGATCTGATGGTTGACGTAGTCTGCGGTGACATCGAAGGCCCGACACTCGTTGATCGTTCCAATGGAAATATCACCTTGCTCGGGATGGGCTGTGATATTGCACGTTTCGCCAGCCTAAAAGAGCTATCATTCGTGCGAATTACTAAATAAGTTGTGGTAGATGTTTTTTGTTAGAAGTTGAGAGTAGAGGAAGTTGAAGATGGTGAGATCTAGGAATGTAGGAGTACAAGGATGTGTTGATTTAGAATTTTAGAAATTTAGAAATTTAGGAATCTAGGAATCTAGAAATCTAGAAATCTGAAAACAAAAAATCTCAAAAACTAGAAATGTAGAAATCTGGAAATCTAAAGAACTAAAAATGTAGAAATCTAGAAATCCAGAAATCTAACAAGCTAAAAATCTAAAAATCTAAAAATCTAAAAATCTAAAAATCCAGAAACCTAGAGATCTAAAAATCTAGAAATCTAGAAATCTAAAGAACTAAAATTCTAGAGATCTAGAAATCTAGAAATCTAGAAATCTAGAAATCTAGAAATCTAGAAATCTAGAAATCTAGAAATCTAAAAATCTAAATATCTAGAAATCTAGAAATCCAGAAATCTAACAAGCTAAAAATCTTAAAAATCCAGAAATCTGAAAATCTAGAAACCTAGAGATCTAAAAATCTAAAACTTCAGAAATCTAGAAATCTAAAAATTGATAAGCCTGGTCCAGGAACGTAGGAACACAGGAATGAAAGAATCTAGGAGAACAGTGATCTAGAAGTTAATAAATGTACATCTCGATATAATAACGTACACATATGTTAAATAGTATAGATATTTAGAAGGTTTTAATATTCTGACTGATGATCCTCATAGCAGTGAAGGTGTCAAGCTATGCGCATAATTAAGAATAAAGATTTGGGCTAACGTCTAAAAGGCCAGAACTAAGGTATATGTTATGACGAAAAAGTGATCTTAAACATTATTAAACATACTGCATCGATCGATAATTATATCGCCAGTTGTGGAAGCAGATGAAGAACATGTATTAGCAGCGTGGTAGAGTTAGCGTGTTTAGACGATCATACTGAAAGCGTGATATAAAATAGAACATCTTCATGATTAAAGAAGCATCGGTGAATGATCAAATGGCGATGAACAGCTGTCCCGTCTGCAATGACAGCGATTACAGAGTGGATTATTCGTTCATTCCTTAAACGAGTATACAAACACATGTGTCTAAAAAACACCTTTCATTGTGGACATTTATCTTCTTGAGATTATAAAAATATTATTGCATATGTTGTTGAACTTATTATAATTCTTCCACAATGCTAGATGTTTCAATAGAGAGAAAAATGATAGAACAGATTATGAGAGTTACCTCGGTTTTATCTTGCTGTAAGTTAGATTTAAAACCGAGTCCTATACTAACACTTTAACAACTGGAAATGTATTATACACAGATGTATACTTCTAAATGAACTTTCTGTCTAAAGATGAGATAATACAGCCTCCAGGATTTTTTAGCATAGAATTTTAGAGGGATAATGCACTTGGTTGCATATATTCTTAGTTAAGAGTAAGTGTAGCTATAGAAGAAGTCTCTCATTTGTCTTCAATTTTAGGTCAAGGAGTTAGGATAAATTAAGAAGGATCTAAGGAAAGAAGAATATAGGATCCAAGATCTAGGTATAGCAAATGATACTTCTTGTACACTTCCTGTCAACTAGCCGCCTGTGCATATCCTCTCCATTATTAAATATTAAAGTCAGAATTGATATTAAAAATTTGTAAAGTGAAAGTTAAATTTTTTCCTGATTGCACACCGCATGTCCGTGAGTTGTGGTATTATTGAAACGGCATTCACATGTATATAATCGTGCATCGTGTCAGAGCTTTTATACTAGAACATGTTTGATCGTGCTGTAAATCTCTTGTACAAGCAGAATCTCAGCCTGACCTACCAGCGAACGGAAATACACGAGAGGTTGAAATACGTTAAATGTTGTACGAGTTGCTACAATGAAAGTTACAGTAATGAAGTTGCGTAATGAGCAAAATCTTTACAAAGCGAAATAATGAATCGATGATTAAAATATCTCGTCAATTAACATAATTCAATATTTCGTGCGCCATTCGTGGTGGATCTAGCTAAATATAATCTCGGTAACACAAACATTCACCTAACAAATTTCAAGCGAGAAGGGACTCCAGTTTACCTTGGTCGCTAAAGTGAGATCAGACCGTTTTCAGGAGGTAACGAAAAAACTTTAGTCTCTGTATATCTAGACACTTATAGTTGATTTAACCACAAATTCTGGACATGTGTACGGCTGATAGACAAAACATTGAATTTGAGCGTAGAATGATTGCGGCTCTTGTCGAGACCACGAGATATCAACTATGCTGCGTAACGTTTCTTCAAAACAGGTACCTGTAATTAAGAAACTGATAAGCTTTAGATACCGTTCAAACCTCCTACTCGATAGCGAAAGAAGTAGTATTTATTCGGATAAATTAATAATCATTCGAAGATTGAAGGGACGAGAACATTTATTGCTTCATTGAATAGAAGAGAACTGTTAAAATGTAATATCGTTTTGTGAACCTAGCATCTGTTGAAGTGAAAAGAAACTGTGCCATAAATAATAGTGTTTCACTGACGGGGTTTGCCGGCGGTCTTAAAAATTACACCATGCCATGGTTACTTAGACTATTCATTGTATATACCTTGTTCTCGTGGTTACGATCGTTTAACAGAGAAATCTCTGGACATACATGGTTTTTTTTAATAAACACTGATGGGTGCGGTTCAATTTGGAAGATCGCACTTGATCGATCACCTCTGAAACAACTATTTTCGCTTGAAACTTTATACTGATCACAGAGTACGGCGAGCTATAAAAATACAGTATAATCTATGTACAGACAATAGAATATTATTACTCTCCGAGGCTTACGCCCGTTCTGGGTGTCTTCTTTCTAGGGGACAACATTTATCGCGTACGCACACTCTTTCCACCACTCTGCAGCAACCGTAACATCTGAACGTCGAAGATAGCGAGGGATCGAGAATTATTACCTTAAAAATTCCCATATCACGGCCAGATGTAAGCGATAACGAACACAGTAAAACCACATCGAACATCGTGACGATGTGAAATAAATAAGCTCACCTTCTCCGTCGTAGAGAAGCATTTTGCCCGGGCAAACCAAACTGACCTCTTGGAATCACCATACGTGCATTGCCCTGGGCTGGTCTCGAGCCACCGTGCGCTTGTAGGGTAGTTAAATGAGCAGCGTAACCATCGTGAAGAATCGTTGCCGAAGCATGATGTTTCTTTGGTACTTTCCCAATGATGAAGATTTGATTCGGTTTTAAATTAATCGCAGTGTAAACGCTAATATCTTTGCTACTGCCGTAAGCGTGGTGAATTATCACACCGTGATCCTGAAGAAAAGAATACATTATTCACTTGTATAGTTATTATTACCATATTATTATTAAATAATTGTATCATTCTTTAAGTAGTTTTTTACCTGTACAAGTTTGTTTAAGTACGCAGCTTTATGACCAAGCGGATCTGTCGAAAGACCGTCCGCAAACGATACGAGACCATGGGGGAAGTTATGTTGAGACAACCATGAAACAACTTTCTGTTGTTGCATATCAGGCCTCGCGGTGATATAAATAATTAAGTAACCCAACTCTTGCCAATGTCTAGTAATAATGACATAGTTATAACGTGTTAAAGAGAACTACAGAGATGAAGGATTATTGATGTACCTAACAACGTCAACAGCTCCAGCTCTCACTTTTGGATCCTTTCCGCTAACAGACATACTTGCAGTAAACGAACCATCTATGCTAAACACCACACACTCAGTTTTTGGTGGAATCACAGCCAAGAAGAAGTCTACAGATGTATGATCACCTCTGAAAATTAGATGAGAAGCTTAAGAGAGGGTGTCAAATGATTAAAATAGGGTGAAAGATAGAAGGGTTGATGGAGGAGGAGGATAGCAGGGAACAGTACCTTTTGCAAGGGAGATTAATAGCATTACCTGACGATCATTTTAACTGGATATAGTCCATAACCTAAGGCTTTATCGTCCGGTATTTTATACGTTATTCTACCGTTCTTATCAGTTACTTCGGTTGATAAATACGTCCATTCTCCGGCAGGTGCATTCTTCATAATGTGAATGTCTACTTTCTCGCCTGTAGTAATTTATGAAAGAAGCATTTAATAGACCATTAAAAAATCATTGATATAATTAATGATTGATATAATTACCGCTTAAAGCAATAACGTCGATTGGACCGTACATGAATCTAGCAACCAACACTTGCGGTGCTCCTTCTCTAACAATTACATCATTTGCTCTATGATTGGCATTGACATTCTGTAACAAAATACATGTTGAAGATTCATAAAATGTTTTATGAATAATAAAAAGTGACGATGATAGCCTACCTTAAGCTTAACGGAAGTACGTTTCTTATTCCACTTTTCTCTAGGTTGACCTGGACGGAAACACGTTAACTCTTTCTCCTCGTTAGAGAGCAACGACAAATCGAATCTGCCTAATTGCCGCAAAATAAATGCAATGACGTCAAAGGACTCCCAGTAACTAGCGTGAAAAAGATGTGGCAAAGCGTTCGTAGGGAAATTCGCTAAACCCTCTGGACAATAAAGAGCGTAATCTAATCTCTTCGTACCCCACCACTTTTGCTGCACTGTAACAAAAAACTTCTTCAGTAAAGGTACACCTAAATCATCCCAGAATAAAATTCTAGTTACACCAATATAAATTTCAACTCACAATTAGACACTAACTGTAAAGGAACAATTTCAACCATACCAGACATTGTACTATGAATGGATATATCGGACAGTCGTCTTAAATGGGACATTGGCATGTTTAAACCGTCCGAAAACAACTGTGGGTTTGACTGAATTGTTTCCACTGAAAACATCAAATAATTTAGACGTGCTGATTCTCTTGGCTTTTAAATATTAAATGGAAGATGCGTACATAAATGATAAGGCTGACCATTCCCTAATGGATACTTTTGATATCGAGCCACGTTCACGGGCGGAAGAAGAGAAAACTTAGCAGATATCAACGGCTCCAACCTAGCCGCTACTGGATCGGTAGGATGGAATAAATTATACAGCTGATTCACCAACGGTCTCTTAATGTTGCTAGTTTTATCGCTGCTCGACGATATTTTTCTATACGCTAGGACTAGAGCAAGTGGACTACCGAACATAAAAAATTCTCCTACTTCGAAATCCAGTTTACAGTGTGACATTTCACTGAAAATGAAAGGAGATATCTTAGACTTTTATATTTTTGTATTAGTCACAAGGTTTGAGTCTCAATTCCTCACCTTATACTAGAAGATTTCCTTCTAGGAGAAGGTGCAGTCAAGTGTTTGCCATCTTCAGGGTTCCCGCTATTCTCAACGCCTTGATTATCCAAAATATTGTTCTCGCTGTTATGTCTAGAATGTGTAGATCTACACAAAGCGTCATAGGTTAAAATCGCTCCTACTGAGTCTCCTATAAAACAAATCTGCCCCGTGAAACCGCGACCCTCTTCGCTTTTGATGAATTCGTGATAGACTTGATTGGCTCCTACTATAACTTTCGTGACTGCATCTTGGTATTCAGGAGTGGAACTAGCTAGCAGTGGTATCGCGCCAATAGGAATAGTGTCATGTGTCACTTGAGGGGCGTCCATAGAAGAGGGTGATACGTCGAAACTGTACGGACTTAAACTGAAAAAATATTTTGGTAAGACCAAGAACAACTAGCTTAGATTTTTTAGTATGTAAAAAATGTTTACCTAGATAAAATACCCAGACCTTCTGTACAGATGGAAGGGCAGGAAACAAACTTAATGGCTACGTGACCAACCATGCTGGGATAATGTTGTCGCATCACTGATTCAAAGGCTCCTTTGAAAGTTGTGATGTCTGACTTCTTCGCCGTCAAATCGACGTTCGCGTCTGAAACATTTTGATGGAATATTTTTAGAAAATAATAGATGTTAAGGTTTGGCGTAAGGATTGGCGTAATTAGGGGACGGATGTGCGATACAGTGGTAATCTAAGGTTGACAAAAATCCTAGTTGCGCCAATAGTTATATAGACATTTACACAAAATTACCTAAAACGCTACCAGCGTGCATTACAATAATAAGAACAGTTGTCTTGCAGGGTTGATGAGTAGGGGAATGTTGAGGCGACGCTGGACAAGAGGCATCGATACTTGCTGAAGTGGAGATCTGCAATCTTTTACTGCTACGTTCACTGGCCATTCGTTGCAGATACGAAGGTGAGAATATCGTGTCATCTGCAAACACGCGTTAAACTGAGCACCGATACTCCGCGGAGAGTGCAAACATTTGGATTATTAAGAATCGTTTACCTTCCTTGTTTGTGCTGGTACACGAAGTGAACGTATTGTCCTCCTCTTCTGCTAGAAGATCCAAAGAACTCCATTTAGCTAATGAAGTGTTATCTCCAAAGTCCTCTGTATAATCAGAAATGTTTACATTGCTTATGCATCGTGCCTTTTTAAGCATTTGTGACACGTGTTAAGGCGGGAAATACAGAAACGGGGTGAACGTTCCCCTTCAGATTAGGCGTCAAGATAAAAAAGTAGTAAGAATTTCGTTGGAAAAGCAGCTCGATTTTTAATCTACATAGCCATGCTGCTTCATGCTATGTGTTGAGTATCTGTAATCGATTTCAAGAGTGTTATCTACAAAGGCATGAATGCAATCGCATTTTTCTGATTTTATGTAAATGATACTAACATTAATCTCGGTCTTTTTATCCTTCATATCTTCCAACAAACGTGTTATAGTTCTAACAACTCTATCTACGTGTCCTACCTTTGCGTATAATAGGTATAACGAACCCAGCTGCGATGTGGAATGCGACATAGAAAACAGAGAGGGCACAGATCAAGACAAGACAAAAAAATTGTTAATACCAACTCATGCTGTATTTTCTACTTCGAAGAATTAATTTTTAAGACACACCATTATTCGGTTTGTTTAAAACTACCATTTCCCAACGGGTCTAATGTTCGGCAAAAGAAGGTGTTCAAGAAATTCGCCAAAGCGCCAGCTTTATCATTCAGAATAATGTTAGCGGACGTCGTTAGTCTCACGTGTAATAAATACTTGGAAGGATCGATCGCATGCTCAACGGATGAATCATCGGTTTACCTTGACAATCGAAGAACTCGTCTTCGCTGCCCGATTCAGATTCTCTCACGATACTTTCCATGCGCCAATTCGCTATCTGCATGTCGAAACTTTTGTTCGAACACGGGGAATTCATCGCGGCTTTGTTCTTCAGCCACGCTTTCTTTGTGTCACCCTTTTCCTCGGCAGAAGCGGTTCTAAAATAAATTTAGTATCATTGAACACATCCTAAATCAGTAATGAAGATCTCAGATAATCAATATATTATTAATATTTCAGAATTACCGCTACAACATTTAAAACATTCATCGATTATCTGAGTCTCCATAAAATGATTAAAAACACCAAATGTACAAGTTCCTGATTTTACTTCTATTTTTACCTAAGCTCCGGTAATTCTGTCGGCGAGTCTTCAGGACTGGGTTCACCTTCCGAGCTAACTGTCGTGTTGGACATAGGAATGTCCGACGACTTCCTGACACTAGGTGGACTTTGAAGATCTTCGTTCTTCTCGATGCTCCCAAGCGTGGCAGCTAAAGTCATCGCAACATCAGACTCCTGAGGAGTCATCGTCGTGTTGGACGCAGTCTTTTCTTGGTTCTCGTTCACAGCTTCCTCTCCACCTTCCGCATTAGCCATTCTTCTCTGCAAAGCCAGTTGCGTTTGTCTTTCAATTTCCCGAATGTCCTCCATAGTTAAACCGTTCCACTCGTCCTGCCAGGCCCAGGCTTGCCTATGTGCTCGCACCATGGTTTTCCGCAAGGCTAAAAATTATCAATCGTAGTATAACGAGAATAACAACGCTAAGAAGATGGATTATACTAAATTATGTTTGTTATACTAACCTATGTCGTGTATGAACTTTTCTAGCTTCGTCTGCACGCCCCAGTAACGGAATTCCACGCGACATAACTTGTACGCGCACATTAACGACTTGCCGGATGGTGTTGGCTGTTGCTTTCCCTGAATCAAAGAGATGCTATGAGTAATCGGTACAGAGATAAGGTAATTTCATTCGTTGAAACTTTGTGGGTGCATTTAGCAATTTAGTAGGTTTAAGTGATCTATGGCGAATGTTTGGATTGGTGTTTGCAAATGAAGTTTGAGAGGATGAGAATTGGGTCTTTGATATTTGGAGAATTTGAGACTGTGGTCTTGTGATGGTACCTTGAGACTTTAGGATTTTATGAGTGTGGTACCTTAGGGCTTTGGGACCTTGTGAGCCTGGTACCTTGAGACTTTGGGACCTTGTGAGCTTGGTACTTTGAGACTTTGGATCTTGTGAGCTTGGTACTTTGAGACTTTAGGATCTTGTGAGCTTGGTACCTTGAGGGCTTGGAACCTTGTGAACTTGGTACCATGAGAGCTTGGGACCTTGTGAGCTTGGTACTTTGAGACTTTGGATTTTGTGAGCTTGGTACCTTGAGAGCTTGGGACCTTGTGAGCTTGGTACGTTGAGACTTTGGAACCTTGTGAGCTTGCTACCTTGAGACTTTAGGATCTTGTGAGCTTGGTACCTTGAGAGCTTGGGATCTTGTGAGCTTGGTACCTTGAAACTTTGGAACCTTGTGAGCTTGGTATCCTGTGATTCTGGTACCTTGAGACTTTGGAACTTGGGAAATTTTATAAATAGAAGAACCTTCAGATATGTGGACCTTAAGCCTCTTGATACTTGAAGACCATAGAATCTTAATACCTTCAGTCTCTTCTATTTTAAAGTCACAATATCTTAAACCATATCATTACAAATATATTGAACCATCTTAACATCTTCAACCATGAGACCAATCCAAATGCACCTACTTGACCTTGACCTAAATTTCCACTCTACAAAATCCACAAAGTTTCACGCATATCAGAAACTATAATACTTTCACATACTTTCACATCAGCCCAGTATTCCTCTAACCACGCCTCCGTGAGAGGTCCTCGACCAGTTTTCTGGGACACGTACGTTTTAGGGTCCTCCTCCTTCACATAATCGCACTGATCCTTGACGATGTCGATTACATCTAAAATATTTAATGATTCACATAATTCAGTAGCTCACAAAGGTACCAAACTTGAACCACAAGTACTCACCAACGATTCTGTTCCTCAAATCGCTACCACTAAGCTTGAAGACATTTTCTTGGTACCCATTGTCAGGGAAATAGTACGTTTCTATTTCGATGGAGAATTTTTCGACGAAGGGACAGGTGTATCGGGTCTTTGTATAGGGATAAGCGTTCCATGCTTCTTCTTTGGCGATCAAGGCGGATCTTGGTAGAAGACTTTTGAACCATTCTGGAAGATGGCTGCCGACGTGGTAGATCTTGTGGGTGTATTGTCCATTTCCACCGGGGCCGTTGCTGTAAGGCTCGTTTACTATTATCTCGACACCGCTGCCTGCTCCTTGACTCTCTTCTCGAGATTTTTTCTGCAAAACAAGAGAGGTAAGTTGCAATTATTCTTTCGCACATTATTATTAATAAGGCATTATGTACATTGATGAATTTGGGGTTTTGGAAATTTGGGAATTGGGAGATGGATGTTTGATAGTATGGAAATTTGGGAATTTGGAGATATGGAAATTGGGGATTTAGGGATTTAGGGGCATGGGAGTTGGGGAATGTGGAATTGAGGGATATGGGATTGGGGGATGTGAGAATTTGGGGTTTGGAAATTTGGGAATATGGGAATTGGGGAATGTGGGAGTTGGGGAATGTGGGAATTGGGGAATGTGGAATTGGGGAATGTGGGAATTGGGAAATGTGGAAATGGGAAATGTGGGAATTGGGGAATGTGGGAATTAGGAAATGTAGAAATTGGGAAATGTGGAAATTGCGAAATGTGGGAATCGGGAAATGTGGGAATTGGAAAATGTAGAAATTCGGAAAAATGGAAATGAATTCCCAAAGTAATTATATTAAAGTCAACTTACCGCTATCATATAAAGCTGAGCAATCCTGTATTCCTCGACAGTGAGAGGCAACGGTATCCGATATTCCTTTATCAACATTTTGCAACAATTATTTATCTTCTGCTCGCGCTGGCAATGAACACTGCTCGATCAAAGGTTCTTGCTTCTTTATTATTCAACTTCATGGTAAGACAAGCGTGAACCTTGAAAAAAAAAAGGAAAAAAGCGTTAAAACAAGTTGAACTCTATTTTAGCTTGAACGCTGTGGGGAAAAAAGAGGAGTTTCATAATTAAGTCTTCTTCGAAACTGCTGATCGATATCCTTTGAATTATAATTCACCGAGGACTTTTTAAATTCTTTCCTAATAATCCACCAACGAAATAAACGAATTTGCAGTATATCCATGTAATTTCTTAAAGGCTTTCGTAAGTATCGACGGCTTATTTTTCTCGGTCTATAATTGAAGCACGTCAAATGCTGAATCGTTCGTGTTTGTGCCGCAAGTTCGCACGCAAATCCTTGCAATGTCTGCTAAAAAATTGCACGGAAATAATCCCTGTACTAACAAGCTGTATTCAAATTTATTAAGCCGATATTTCGCGCGGACGATATTCTGAAATGCTTCACAATATAAAATTCTTATAAACGCATACATTAAAATTTAATCAGAAATTTATTTATTTAAACAGAAATTTGTTTGTTTATTCAAATAAAAATTTTACAAAAATAATTCGTATTCTAGTAAAATTTATTGAGTTACTATTTTTAATGTGAATTATTTATTTTTATTATACACATAATTATTCTGCAATTATATAATATTATTTACTGTAATTTTTCTGTGATATTCCTACATTATATAATTGTTACATTATGCATTCAAATTGTTGTATTTACAAGGTGTATATATAACATTATTTTTTTAGGTCACATCGATATTTATCGACAATCAGATTTCAGACGAATTTATAAGCAGCTTGTTACGTATGCTAATGGAAGGGTCCAATGAAAGCCAGATACGAATTCCTTGAGCAGCGAAGGAGCAATAAACAGAATGTTGCGCAAGATAAGTATTTATACCCACCTGTGCTGCGTTAAGCCTGCATACAGCAAATTATTGTTTTAGCGGGAAAGTTTAAATTACGATTTCCCAGAATACAGATTTAGCCGACCTGTGCTTCTTTATTCTTCCTAAACACAAACGTTTCGCATCATCTACGTCGTAAATTAAGTAACCCTATACAATGGACCCAATTAATTTACGGGAAAACTAATTTTATTAAATCAAGTGTCATATCATCCGCTCAACATGAATGACATTATGAAGTTTAGCGTTGATATTTTACATTGGTTTTAGTGAAAATTTTTTATGTTATGAATTTTAAATGTATTAATATATTTGTTGATGTATTTCTCAGTTCCCTCATTTCCAAATTTCACATTTTTCAGTTTCTATATTCCCCAATTCTCACATTCCCAAATTCCCTCATGTCCCAATTTCCACATTTCCCAATTCCACATTTCCCAATTTCCACATTCCCCAATTCCCATGTTCCCAATTCCCACATTCCCCAATTCCCACATTCCCCAATTCCCACATTCCCCAATTCCTACATTCCCCAATTCCTACATTCCCCAATTCCCAAATTCCCCAATTCCTACCTTCCCCAAATCCCACATTCCCCAATACTCACATTTCTCAATTCCTACACTTCCCAATTCCCACATTTCCCAATTCCCACATTCCCCAATTCCCACAATCCCCAATTCCCATATCCCCCAATTCAACAATCCCCAATTCCCATATCCCCCAATTCCCACATTCCCCAATTCCCACGTTCCCCAATTCCCACATTTCCCAACTCCACATTTCCCAATTCCCTCATGTCCCAATTCCCACACGTCCCACTTCCCACATTTCAAATTTCCCATATCCCTCAATTCCACATTTCCCAATTTCCACATTCCCCAATTCCTGCATCCTCAAATATCCAAATCTCCAAATCTCCAAATTAATATATTTATTAATACATTTAATGAATATATTTATTAATATACTTAATATATTTATTATACATTGTACATAAATTTAGAAGAGTATTTCAGAGTACAAAAAGCTGACATGTCCCTCGATTCGAAACCTTCAAACAATCGAAGCCTGCTAATTATAGACTCTTGAACGTACACTTATTCTAATCTTGGAACCAACAGCTGGAATTGTTTCCTTTAATGTGTTATTCAGGGAATGTCAATTAATATTTCAGCCACAGAATCTTGTCTCAAGAAAACACGTCACTGCATGATAACCGGTTAGTACAGTTTTTCTAACAGTCAGCTAGTAAGTTTCTAATGATTTTAACGTCGTGTTAATCGAGAGTTAATTACAGAGAGCAAAAATACATCGATGCACTTACAGATAACGTTCCTTAACCTTGAGCATCACGGGAATGGGGCAGATCGAGAGAATCTGCTCGTCTCTGTCCGAGTACACTATACTTTTCGCGCCACACCTTCCGTCTGAACAGATAAATCGCGGGAAGCCGCGATAGTTATATCGCGATACATCACAACGTCAGAGAACACCGGCAAACAAAACCGACTCGATAAAGTCGCTAATCAACGGACGTCAAAATGCATGTATGTTTTATGATGCTACGTAGATTTCCTTTGGCGAACTACGTAGGAGGGCTTCTCACCTGCGTTCGATTTTTGGGGAGTGAGGGAAAAGATATTTAAAAATTATTATGATGTCAAATTTTTAAGATTTCTATAAAGTAAAGAATTTTGGAAATGATTTGTACATTTTTGAATTATTAAGAGAGGTAATTGCAAGATTTATAAATTTTTAGATTTGCAAGTATTTATATTTTTCAAATTCCCAAATTTCTATAATCTCAGATCCCAATGTTATCAAATTTTTATATTTTTGAACTCCCATATACTCCAATTCTTTCATTTCCCAATTCCCACATTTCCTAATTTCCATATTTCCCAATTCCTACATTCTCCAATTCCCACATTCCCCAATTTCGATATTCCCCAATTCCACATACCCCAATTCCCACATTCCCCAATTCCACATTTCCCAATTCTACATTTCTCAAATCCCTCATGTCCCAATTCCCACATTCTCCAATTCCCACATTCCCCAATTCCCACATTCCCCAATTCCCACATTCCCCAATTCCCACATTCCCCAATTCCCACATTCCCCAATTCCCACATTCCCCAATTCCCACATTCCCCAATTCCCACATTCCCCAATTCCCACATTCCCCAATTCCCACATTCCCCAATTCCCACATTCCCCAATTCCCACATTCCCCAATTCCCACATTCCCCAATTCCCACATTCCCCAATTCCCACATTCCCCAATTCCCACATTCCCCAATTCCCACATTCCCCAATTCCCACATTCCCCAATTCCCACATTCCCCAATTCCCACATTCCCCAATTCCCACATTCCCCAATTCCCACATTCCCCAATTCCCACATTCTCCAATTCCCACATTCCCCAATTCTCAAATCCCCACATTCCTAAATTTCCAATCTGTCAAACATCCAACTCCCAATTCCCAAATTCCCAAATTTCCAAAATTCCAAAATGCAAATTCCCAAATTCTCAAATCCCCAACTCCCCATATTCCCCAATTTCCAAACCCGTAAATTCCCAAGTCTGCATCTCTAACCCAAATTCAGTGTTCAAATACAAAAATTCACTATCTTATAAATGTTCAAGTAAAGTTTGAAAATTTATCAACATGAAAGGTGAACGAGTGGTGGGGCACCCTTCCCCTAGATCGCCATTTTCACTATGGAAGGCTACGGTGCTCATTAATGTACGTGTCAAGAATGAAGTTACTCGAACGTTCATTAAAAATGCTCGGAGCATCGAGCGAACGACTCTATCGCGTCACAGTTTCGTTAAATATCAATTCTTACGAGTTCCGTTCACTGTCACATCGTTGGTATGTCAAACGAGAGTTGCTCGAACAGTACACGCGGTACGAAACAACACTTGCTTCTCTCGTTAGTTATCAGAGATAACGGAAGGATTAAGTAATGCAACAAAGTGGAAATTGTTTTTTAAGGGAGAAGGGAAAGGGTGTGCATTGGAAAGTGTAAATGACGGAGAATTTATTGAAAGATTGCGAAGGATACGAGGTAAAAAAAACCGTCACGATGTTACGTGGACAACGCGCGGCCACTGACTGACGGGCCGGAGGTTGCTCCGATTGGCGGGCCCGTTGGCACGCGCGAAATCGAGCTGGACCAATCGGAGCGCCCCCTACCGCCCCCGCGACCCCATCATCCGGAGACAGGGCTGTAAAACGCAAGGGCGCAACTTCCGGTACCCTCATTTCAAATGATCTTGCTCCCTTGTTTCGAATAATCTGTAGACAAAATTTCAAGTTAATTTAACTCAAATATTTTTAATGAGAAGAATAATTTTTTGATGCCAATTTATTTGTAGGTCTTCGGGGTAATAAAAATTTTTATTCAAAGACATTTTTATTTGAGATGAAATTTTATTTAAATTCAGATATTATTTTAGTGCATTATTTTTTGAGGTGAAAATTTATTCTAGTTTTTTGTGGACTGGATTTTATGTCGTTTTATTTGGAATTTAGGTCATGAGATAAATATTGGTATTTTAAATATTGGTCAATTTAGAAATGTGTTTTATATTGTTTATTGGTATTTATTTAATCCGATGTTCTCTTTTATTTTGTTATTCATTGTATCATTCATTGTATCCGTGGTATCATTGATACTTTGATTTTGTACTAGATTTTTGTCATCGATCTTAATCAATTGATATTGATCTTATCACTCAGATTAATTAATTTATCTTATTTATTAATATTGCCATTCATTACAAAGAACATTAAATAAAAAAGTATTTCCTAAATTCAAATTCAGACAAAACCCTTAACTCTTCAACTTCCTATCTCATTACAGTACTACAACATCAACACTCCAAAGCAAACCCTTTAATTATTCAGTCAATCAAAACTCGATTGTTCCCCACAATATTAACGACAAATACCGTACCATTAATCGTAAAAAGACCGAGGGGTTGAGCGTCCCCCAATCAACCCCCAATTTTTCACGATAATCAACAGGTACAAGCATGATAAAAATATTTGCACAAGAAGTACATTAAAAAGCAATCTGACCCAGCTACTCCTGTAAGCCTCCACATAAAAATCCTATGTACGCAAATGTTTTATGTTAATCATAGATAGTTTTCAGATGTTTTCGATGGTTCGTTTGAAATGCTAAAGATTGAATCCGTCACTGGGTGGACAGTCGCCGTTAGCCGCCTCCGCCGCCTCCCTGGCCTATTGATCGACCCCCGAGCAAGCGAGAGAACGCGAGACCAGATGCGCCATAACAGCCAGCAAGTTCTCATGGAGGCGAGACTGAAACGTTCACCGGCAAGGTTGCATACGTTCCTTGGGGGTGTGTAAACGAGTATACCCTCCTCTGTAACGGTGTTGATGGCGATGAATAATAAACCAACAAAATTCACTGCGTGGATACTTAGAGCTCAGAATGGTCAGTTTGTTGCGGAGGTAGCTTCATTGGAGGGTGTTAGGGATGTTTTGATGTTGCTACTGTTATTATTGGGGTTACTAGGATATTTCTGTGGGGTGGATTAGGGGTTCTAGGTTTAGTAGTGGGGAGTTGGGGATTTTGGAGTAGGGATGTGGGAATTTAGGGAGTTGGGGAGGTGGAAATTTAGGGATTTGGGGATTTAGGGATTTGGAGATGTGAGAATATGGGGAATGTGGGAATTGGGGAATGTGGGAATTGG